TATTATCTTCAGGGATGGGAGCTGAAGTTGGACGAGAAGCCAGTGACGACGTTCCAAAACAGGGATAAACACCTGCGATCATAAGTAATAATTCATTTATTTGCGTACTTATTTATGAACACCTTTAAAAAATTTAAAAAATAAACACTAACCTTATCGACCTCCCACCATGCAGGATAAAGTTTAGCTTGTCCATTGCCCAACAAAAATGATTCATCTCGTTGATTCTTCAAGTGAACTGCGTGAAAAGCCGTCGGCATTATTGTATATAGCGAATTTTTTTTATTTTTCCTAAGCTTCCTTATTATTAGTAGACGTGACACCCACGCATCGATATGTTGTTTTACAAAAAAATACATATATTAGTGAATTACATTAATTTTTAAACAAATTAATCAAAATAATATATAAGACAAATATAAGACTTACCTCCCCATCCAAATAGCCACTGTCTTCAACCCCTAATAGCACACCCCACCAAGACCGATCAAGCAACAAAAACATTTCATCGTTGAGTTTGCTGATGTCAGTGTAACACCCTTGGCTCCGCTCATGTAGATAAAAATCAACTGCGGTCTTAGCCCAAAAGGTATTATCCACAATTGTATCTGGTAGTTGTCTCCTCTCCACTTCAGATACCGGAAGGGTACTAGCCGGTAACTCATACGAGAGCCAACTCTCATCCATCATGTCTGGAACCAGTGGGGGTTTCTCAATACTTCGATATATTACCCCATGTGAATCGGGCTCTGGAATAGTGGGAGGGACCTCTTCAACGATGACAGTGGCCTCTTGAACGGTGGGGGGGGAATCTTGAGGGAGAATAGGGGCCTCTTGAACGATTGGAGGGGACTCTTGAGGGATGACCGGTGAGTCGGGCTTCTTCTTGCAGAGTCTTCGCACCATTGGGGTGAACGGAGACGTAATAGCACGTCCACGCCGTCTGATGCGTGAACTCCTTCGTGCAAGGAAAACCCGACGTAAAGCATCCACCTTATCGGGCCGCTAAAAAAAATTAATACATAAATCAGTAAATAAACAGACATGATATTAAACAAAGACAAATATATTTCAAACTAGCATTGTATTCACCCAAGTCATTATTCTATCATAGTTCACAAAATGCTCAGATAACATTCCAGAAGTAAGCACTTATATAAACATTTAAAATGACAACATATATAAACATTCCAGAAGAAGAATAGTTTACTTTCGCAACATGAAACTTAAAATCGCAACGCGAAAATGACTATCGCAACGCGGAAATGGCTATCGCAATGCGAAATGAAAATCGCAACGACAAAATCGCAACGCGAAATGAAATCGCAACGACAAAATCGCAACGCGAAACACAAATCGCATTGCGATTTTCATTTCGCGTTGTGATTTTGTCGTTGCGATTTCATTTCGCGTTGCGATTTTGTCGTTGCGATTTTCATTTCGCATTGCGATAGCCATTTTCGCATTGCAATAGTCATTTTCGTGTTGCGAAAGTAAACTATTCTTCTTCTGCAAATTGAAACTTGAATGGATTGCATTACTTCAACCAAAAGACAAAAACAAAACCAAAAACAAATACTAACAAAAACAGTTTAGCAGTATTGGCAGCAACCGAATGAATTACGAGTATGAAAAATCTTAAACTTACCTCGTTGCGTAGAGTATGAACCTCATTCTGCAACGATGCTACCATCTCACGTAGAGCGGCTACCTCACCGCGTAATGTAGACACCTCAACACGCCATGCACCATCGTCTTTACGTAAAGTACCGACCTCCTCACGCAAGGCATTGACCTCATCACGTAACTCCCCTAACTCATCCCGTTGAGGTGGAGGTGGAGAACAGGGAGATAAACGTCGTGGCATCTTTGCCGGTCGCCTATCTTGCGGTGATGGTGGAGAAGAGGCTCGATGATGTGACAGAATAGGTGATGGATGTCGTTGTGGAGGTGTATAGCCGGGTCGATCAGATGATGGCTCTGGGTGAGGTGATAGCTCTGGGCGAGGTGATGGCTCCCGAAGTGGAGGCTGCTCATCAACCGTTCCATCAAAAAAACGCTTACTAGCTTGCCACCAATCAGTGGCAAGCTCAGCTTCCGTGGGTGTCAGCCTCTATAGAGGAGTGTTGGCCTCCTAACAATATAAAAGCTCAAACAAAGTTAAACGTGTACTAGTAATAACTTGTTTATAAACATATGGTAGTATTTATGTTAACTTACATTATTTATTGTCGTATACCGTAGTAAATCTTCTCATTGCAAGGTTCGTTTCCTCTTCCAGGAAATAGCCCTGGGAATATTATTTGAAGTTTTTATTGCATATGTCTTCATGGCGGGAAAGGCCTCAAATATCCAAATCTACAAACAATATAATAACAAACATTAGTAATTGTTAAATAATTACTTATAATTTTGGAAACATTATATAAAAATTCTTACCTTAAAGGCCCAAATAAAGCCTGTCAAAGTGTATTTGGAACCATCGCCATGCAAACTTTTTCGATCATACAAGGCAGACGATAACTTATTCCATGTAGCTTTCCATAAATACAAGCCCCACGGAAACATGTTCCACGCATTTAGGTCTTCTACCAATTTGATTAGATCATTTGGAATAGGTTGTCTGGCCTCTCTGCCTAAAAAGCCGGCATGCAAAAGAATTAGAAGGCATACTCGGACAACGTCGACGTCATCCATCCGAGTAAAACCATCTTTCTTATTCAATAATATCGTCAGGTCTTCCACGTGTAGATTCGGCCTCTCCAGCTCAGGAAAAACCCGAGATAACCATGATGGGCGGGTAATGTGTCTAGTGTACCGACCTACATCATCGTGTCCGAAGCGTAGACCGGTGATTAAGCAAAACTCCTCCCGCCCAAAACACGTATACGCCGGTGGAAAATCAAACCATATCTCTTCATCACGACGTTGTATACTATCTGGTAGATCCCTAGTCATGGTTTGAAGAAATAGGTGTGTCAACATCGCATCTCCACCGGGATGTTGTACTTTCAGCCATGGCCCGAAGCAAGTATCCTCAAACATTTTTCTTTGTGCAGGTGAAAGCTTCGACGCAATTGTTTTGGCCAGGCTGACTTTATTTCTTAAGGTTAATTGAGCCGAATAAAAGTTCTACAAAAACAATAAACATACTAAGTTAGATATACCAAAAACTATACTGTGAAGATATACCAAAAACAATAATAAACATAAAGAGTAGTAGTTTATTCTTCAAACTTAAATTTGCAACACTGTGAATTTCTTATTTGTCTTTGTTTTTTGGTTGAAGTAATGCAATTCATTCAAGTTTCAATTTGCAGAAGAAGAATAGTTTCTGAAAATGAAAATCGCAACATGAAAATGACTATCGCAACGAGAGAATCGCAACGCGAAACTAAAATCGCGTTGCGATTTTCATTTCGCGTTGCGATTCTCGGTTGATTTAATAAGCAATCTAAGTGAAATGGTTAATCTATTATTGAAATTACCAGTAAACTTATCATCAATTTCAATATGAAAAACCTAATAATAATGCAAAAAATTCAAAAAGAAAATAATTAAAAAAACTAACTCTCGTTGGTTGATTTGGTTGATTTTCCATTTCTGATTGTGAGGGTGGCTCTGAGAGATGGAGATAGACGGATTTCATCGGAGATGGGGACGGATTTCGTCGGAGATGGGTGAGAGAGTGAGAGATGGAGATGGGACTGAGTTGTGATTTTAGGTTTTAGGTTATGAGTTGCGATTACGGGATATACTGTGGACGGTTCAGTGTTCCAATATATTAATATTCGTGTTTGGAATTTAAAAATAAAATACTTGGCCAGGATACTAATGGCGCTTTGAAAATCGCATTGCGATTATGTATTATCGCGTTGCGAAAGTCAGAACCGCGTTGCGAAAGTCAGAATCGCGTTGCGAAAGTCAGTATCGCGTTGCGAAAGTAAGTATCTCGTTGCGATTTTGTATTATCGCATTGCGATAGTCAGTATCGCATTGCGATTTTCCCAATTCGCGTTGCGATTTACTTATTCGCATTGTGATTTTCCCAATTCGCGTTACGATTTACTTATTCGCATTGCGAATTGGGAAAATCGCAACGACACTGTAGACCATCGCAACGCGATTTTCAACTATCGCATTGCGAAAATGCAACGCGAATTTGCGATAATGGAGATCGCGTTGCGAATTAGCGATCGCATTGCGATTTTGTTGGTCATTTTGGCAAATCCGGAAAAAGTTGGTTAAAATCGTATATTATATGGGATTTTTGGTCACTGAGGTTATTTTCTCTTTATAAAAAGGATAGATACTTACCGATAATCAAAGTTTACCGGTTACCAAATTTTTTAATAGTTTTTCATATTTTCTACCTAAAACATTATTAGTTGTCAACATAATAGGTACCGCTAAACCGAATTTATTAAATACATTTTAATATATCCGGTACTGCCATATATTAGCCGTATATTAACCCGCCTTTACTGAGACAATCCCGGCAAATGTGATTTACAGATCTTTTAAAAATGTAAAAGGAAGTGAAGTTTGTTAAGTAACGAATTAAATAGTATTAAAAATGGTCTAATTCTAGATTTGGATTGTCTATGTTATGTAAATTCAAAGTTAATCATTTACTTCAATTGAACATGGTTTAGTTCCAATATTTTACGAAAACTGATAAATTAGTTCAATAGGGTAAATTGTTAGACTTCAACCTTACTGATAAATTGATATCCTAAAAATTAGCAAGTCGGTAATTCTTAAAAGCTAAAATAGAAGACTAACATCTCAAATTCGTAAAGTAAAAGGGATTAAATTTAGAATTAGTCCATTTAAGTATAAAAAGAAGAAGAAAACGGGTGTCTGAAGCAACGGGCAAATTTCGAAACTTTTACCGCGCGAATATGGTGTTGACGTAATTAAGTGGGTCCCCTTTTCCCTCCAAATAGTCTATAAATAAGGATCCCATACATCTAAACCTAGGCTTCAAGGCACCAGTCTCCAGGGTCAAGAAGCATCCTCCACCGCCTCCTCCGCTGCCTCCGCCGCCTCTCTTCTCTTCCGTACCCCAACAACCGGAAAAACATGGTCGGAGGACCGAATCCCACCATCAAATTCTTCTGTAGTTACGGCGGAAAAATCCTCCCTCGTTACCCCGAAGGCAAACTCCGTTATCACGGCGGCGAAATCCGTGTCCTCGCCGTTGATCGCTCCATTCTCTTTAATGGTCGGTGTATTCTTTTATTCTTCTTATTTTATCTTTACCAACTTTTTATTTATTTATTTGAATTTGTAGCTTTAGATTGGTCAAAAGTTGTTTACTAGAAAAAAGAAAAAAATATGTTGTTGAAATAATGAGAAGTGAAATATGTTATTTTATGATGCAGAGTTGTTGTTGAAGATGGGAGAGATGTGTGGTGGGAAATCGGTGAGTCTACGTTGCCAGCTGCCCACGGAAGATCTAGACGCGCTGGTTTCGATCACTTCCGATGAGGATCTCGCGAACCTCGTCGAGGAATACGATAGGTTTGAGTCCCCGTTGCTTTCTTTAAAGATCAGAGCGTTCCTTTTGTTGCCCAAATCCGCCAAAACGCCGATTTCTCCTCTTCCATCGTCGGCTTCGTCTTCAAAGTCATCGTCATCTTCTTCATCGAGTACTCCCAGTCCCAGGTTCCCCTGCATACGTCAGATTTCCGGGACTCCCGTCGCTTTCCCTCTTTGCTCAACGGCGGGGAAGAATGTTTCTTACTGCGGCTGCCATGTTTACCTTGTTCATACCAGGAATCACTGGCAATAACAGCAACTCTGAAGAAATTCAAGGTCATCATCTATGTTATGATCATGTTTCTATTTGGCGAAGAACAAGTAAAACAATATATACTATCCATAGAAGCAAAACTAAAATGAAAAGAAAATTTTAATCAATATGATGTATTTGGAACTGTAAATCGTTTTCGGGACTGCTCTATATGATTCGTGGCCATTGATGAATCTTCCCACTCCAGTTTTGTTTCGGATCATTTCGCACAAAACCAATTATTTCTTCCCAATGGTGAGCTTTTTGCCCCAATTCTCTCTTCTTTTCAAGCGCCATTTGTACGCAATCGCTAAGCAGCAAATGATTTTGAATATATTTCGTTCATTTTATTGTAATTTCATTGTTTTGATGTTTTGGTTTTGCAGGTGAATGAAGATGCTATAACTCAGGGTCTTAAACGAAACACGGAGCTGATCTTTGAATGATTTGTGGTAAAGCAATGGCGAAATGTCAAGTAAGTTGACGGTATAGCAACACTTTGTATTTTGTTTAAACGAAAATATTGATTGACCCATAATTTTTTCTTATCCATTGAAGATTGTGGCATCAATGAGAGCTGATAATGAATGCTTTCAACTTTGCAAGCAAGAAAACAATGGCAAGTTGGTTTGGGTCTTTCGATTTTTGAATCTTGGCCATCTCCTGACGTGTTCACGGAATTGGATGCTGATAATGATTAATGAATGCTTTCAACTATTTCCAGAATTTGGATGCTTATGGTTTTGCTAGGAATATCTAAGTTTTCATAGGAAACACCTGGTCGCTAGTCGTCGCATCGGTTCCGACCATACTCAGAGTCGAGCACTCTGAAATTTGCATTACTCAAATCTGAGTCCTTAAGGAACATCGAACTCTTAAATATTCGAACAAACATTAGTAGGTATATCATTTACAACAATCCTAGTATATTGTGGTTTTAGTGTCCCGTTTATCTTGTATTCAATGATTGGATATGTATTACTTGCAGATGGGACAAGCAAAGCGGCATGGAAGCAAGCAAGCAATTGTTGTTTCAATAAATACCAATGAACTTGGTCCCATAAAAAAGCAATGGCAATGAATTATGGAAGAATAACGGGGACCATTACCGGAATTTACTGAAACATGCAATGGAGAAAAAAAGCCATATAAGAACTCATTTTCATTGGACATCTGGGATATATACATATAATACTAGCAAACACGGATGGATTGAGGGAGAATGAACGAAGTTGTTGTCCTCTAAATATTTTAAATTATTATATATTTTAAATATTTTATTGATAATTTGTTTTGGTCTTCTCAGTATTTTACAAATTCATTTGTATTAAAATTTTAGAACTTTGTTTTGTATTATGTGTGCCCTTACTAACAAATTAGGCAAAGGAGATGATATTAATATATGGGGTTTTTTTTTTCAAAGGAAGGGGTTCAAATAAGGAGGATTGAGGGTAGCAGGTGAGATAGTTTACTCCTTGAAAGTTTTAAATTTTTATAAATTTTAGATTTTTTTTATATTTTTAATTAAAAATTTATTTTCGTTTCCTCTAAAATATTATAAAATCTGCTCTTAGAAATTTTATAAGTTCGAATCTTATAATATAAAATTTTACGTTTATTATGGGCTTATAGTCCACTCAATTTTATATGGTTCGGAAAGGAGGATGCTTCGTGCTAAGGATTCAATTTAGGACATGACATTGAAAGATTTATTTTTATACCAAATATTGTTATAATTGTTTTTCATGTTGAAATCTCAATTTCTATTATTTTCATTATTTACATTTATGTATATATTTTTATAGAAACCATTAGTTTTTTATTAAAAAAAATATCTTAAATTATTATGAAGGTTTCCAATCATTAATATATATTAAATATATAACTAGAATATTTTTCTATAATCATTAACACAAATACTATGCACTTAAGATCATACAAGGATCATAAAAAAAAGTTAAAAAGCTAAAAAAAACTCGAATAAAAGATATATATGAATCTAATTATATTTTAATCATGGTTGATATAATATTTATACCGAATATTAATGTCGTTTTTTTTGGCAATGCAAGTAATGGTAGGCTATGACTAAAATATTACTTCAAAATTGATTAAACCTGTTTTTGTTCAACTTTTATTCCTTCATAATTATTCATATTACGTTTAATTTTATATCACTGGTTGAATTGATTAAATTATAAATTTTATTATAGTTATTGATATCTAAAAAGATAAATTTCATTTTAAGGTGAAACGATATCTTTTAGGTGTTAATGTTTAGGAATATGTTAATTTTATTATTAATTTTTTTTATAAAAAATTGCTTTTATGTATTATACTTTACTGACAACTATTGGTAGTGAATCGTTATTTATCATCATTCATCGTTTTGATATTGATCTTATCATAAATGGTGATAAGTGACGAATAATTATTAATTGTAAATGGTGGTTTAAAAAGTTTAGTGTCTCAAGCTGAATCTTCTCAAAGTTTAGAGAAATTGATTAACCCACAAAATTCAGTGCTTAAAACAAGTCACGTTGAACATTAGTAATTATATCAAAATGACATTACGTTATTCACGTAATTACAATAAAATATTTATTCACATCATACTATTAAAATTTAATGAGTCAATAATATAATTAAAGTTAAAATGCAAATTTAATAATATAATTAAAATAATTAGAGTTGAATGGTACAAAGAATACATTAATAAAAATTCAATCATATCCAGTGCAGTTTTGTATAATTAATGGCTTTAAGGGTGTGTTTGGTTCACGAAATGTAAGATTACTAGTATGAATAAAAGATTACCAGGGAATAGGATTACTGGGAATGTTGTATTTTGTGTTCGGTTGATTTAGCATGAATGTAAGATTTCCGTGTTTGGTTAAAGGAATAAAGATTATTAAAATGTATATTTGACCAAATTATCCATATTATATATTTGTTTTTTTAACAAGTTGAAAAATATTTATATATTTTTCTTTAAAAAGTTTAAATTCATAAAATTTATATAATTATTTTTTTACAAAATTAAAAATATAAAAAAAGCTTAATGAAAGGGTAAAATATTATTATAACCTCTGAACTTCATATAAAATTTTATTTATAGACTTTTTTTTGTAAATTTAAAATAATTTAAGGATAAATTTGTATTTAACCTTTGTAAAAATTTTATTATTTAATGACAGAATAATGATTTTTTTAAAGAAATTTTTTAAGGGCGTTTTAGTTATAAATACCAGTAATCCAACAATACCTAAATAAAGGGAAGTAATGACATTTCTGGTAATATACCCCAAAAAATCTACTATTTGTAATGTAAGATTACCGTGAATGATATTTTCGACCAACCAAACGGAAAAATATGGATTCTATTCCCATAAAAATCTTACATTCTCCCAATCAAACACACCGTAAGAGTCAAAAGGTTTCATATGTGAGCGCTTGTGGTGGTGCAACTTGGTTGTGGTTTCAGAAACACAGAAAATAGAGGAAACCAATGAAATTAAGACACACGTCGATGGTGGTCTCATCAAAATTTAATACAATCTTAATTAAAAAGAGGTTTTTGTTGGATGGTATTATTGTTATGTTTAAAAGGAGGGTTTGGGTGTGACCGGACGCTATCGGTACATGCTCACTGTCAGTTTTTGCCTTGAGAATTAAAGGAAGTTGTGCAATGCAGTGAAAGTGGTGCCACACGTTGCAGTTGATGCCGACGAGGGTGACATGTATGTATAACAACAGGTTGTGTATGTTGGGTTTTTCCAAGTGTCTAGCTTTATTACCACACCCGTAGGGTTGCCTCTGTATTTTTGGTTCTAGAAAACGATAGTTTTATGTGTGTGTGTGAGAGAGAAACATGGTTTGTTTCTTGGCTTCTTCCTTGTTCGGTTTAGGTTAGGTTGCATGGATGGATTGAAGAGGACATGTGAGAACACTCATTCATCAAATAATCTGTTTTTGTTTTTTAAATTTTCTAAGTATATTTTTAAAGTTTTAAAAATTTATCCCTTAATATAAATTTTGCATCTGCCCCTATCGGATTTCATTAAATATGTTCAACTGAATTCCCCTCAAATCATTGTGATTTGTTATTATATTGACTATCTATTAATTTTACGAGATGAAATATTATATTTTTTAAACAAAAATTATAATTTTAAATATGGATATTGTGAATAAAGAAAATTGAATTATATATGAACATATTTTAACATTATTTAATCTAGATTACTAGATCAATAAGTTGAATATTGATTATAAAGAAATACTGTGATTTGTTAATCTTCTAAACCTCAAATATACATTTTAATGTATACAAGCAAATATATTTGAGGTTTTTTTAATGTATATTCTAAATTAATTTTAAGAAAAATTAGTGAGTCAAATGAATATAATTAGTGCGATAAATGAGACGAGACAAATCGTGAGCTATTTGATTTCGATCGGTCAAAGTTGGATAAACACTCGAATAAAATGAATTTTATTCGAGCTCAAACTCGACTTGAGTTCTTAACAAACCAAAACAAGTTACTCAATACTCGACTCGAGAAGCTCGAGAGTAACTCGAAAAATAGTATATTAAATTAATGTGTTGCTGTCTTTTTAAATGTTCATATTTGAGTTCGAGTTCTAGTTTGAACCGAGCTCGAGTTCGAGATTCAATTAAGCTAAATCTGAGAATGTTTCGAATTCAAGTTTTTTCCAGCTCAAGTCAAGTTTTACTTTTTTATTTCTAGTTCAAGTCAAACTTAATAATTTTAAGTCTGCGACTTTCAATTCGAACTCAAATTAAACTTTTCAAACCGAATTTAACTCAACAATACTCAAACTCAATTTAACCCATTTACAGCACTAATTATAACTTATATAATAATCAATTTGATAAAGATTGGTTAGTAAAATAGAAATGACAAAAAAAGTTTTAGATTTTTTTAATCATGAACACATGAGATTAAGTTATATATATATATTGAATAATTTATAATTTTTATTTTGGGGGGCAAATTTAATTTAGATATGAAAACATATATATATAAAGACTTATTAAATGATAAAAAAATCTTGAATGTTTATACAAAATGAAGATATTATATTAATCTATAGGATAAAATACACAAATGGTTTTTCGAATA